AAAGCCAGAACTAGAAGGAATGCTGGCTTGAACTGATAGTATTTTATGACCTGGACACAGTATTCTTCAAGTACTAGAACCAATTAAAAGTAAACACATAACTGGTCCTATGTGTTGCTGTGTACTGGATAATTCAACAGCTTGTCATTCACTTCATCTTTTGCTGCAGGAAACTGAAAAAATAGAGCTCTTCCAAAGCAAAACTCTTGTTGCTTACCATTTGCCGTTTCTGCCCCAGGGAACAGAGAACTCCACATCCTACTGAATGCCATCTACAGCCTTTGCTCTAGTCTTTATAATCCAGTTATCTTAAAACACAAAACAACAGCAACAACGACCATAATAGCAACAACAAGAATCAAAAGATACCCAGAACCAGTGTTTGGTTTAGAAGAGAATACTTCAAAGACTCCTCAAGTCTTCAAAATATGCTTTGATTTTCAATGTTTTTTAAAGAAAGGGACTAAAAAATGCTAATTTTTAAGAAGAAACTATGCCTGTTGAAATATGGGAAAATGGGAGATGGGAAGATAGGCTATCTCTTTCAGATTTGCCAGCTGTAGCCAACTAAATCAGTCTTTCATTAGGTTGTAGGCACTGCCCAATTCCCTTCCTGCTTCAACTTAAGTCAGAAAGCTTTAGGACATACCGGCCTCTGCAGGTTTTGCTTTTGTTAATATTTGTGGAGTCCTCAAATACTGAATGACTGCCTGGAGGACTTTAAGTATATTATTATTCTTATTTTGGGCAGCTTAATCATTTAATATTCCTTTGCTCCCTCCATATATTAATATTTATTAGCATTATCTAGTTAGAGCTTTATTTCATACTTTAGGGATGTATTTCCTGGCATCATTTACATAGTTAGTGCTCCTGATTTCCAATGCACTTAGCAAAAGCAATGATTAATCTCTGTAAGTAAAAGGCACCCTAACTACAGTTGGAAATGACACACTGCAATTCAAGGGCAACTCAAGTACACCTAGTTCTTTGAAGCCAAAGATTAGCAAACTACATTCAGTTTTTGCTTTTCATTTTTATTTTAGATATTTTAAAAATTCTATCTGAACTCTAATTTAAGAGTAATCCAGAAGTGTATTTGTGTATTTTATGATTTATTCTCATTGTTTTTCCGATGAAGGGAAATGGTCTTCTGAGATTATTTGTTACATATTTCCATAAACAATGTAGTTTATCTTGTGGTGTACATCCATTAAGTATTACTGCCTTCAATCTGTCAGCTCTGCTCCAGTCCTCTCCCTGGATTTATATGTAAAGTTTGTAAAAAAAATCTTATTGACTCTTTTATTATTCAGTATGTTAATTTAATATTTTTTTTGAAAAACAAATAAAATCTAAATGCTGAAGGAAAGCAGAACTGTTTATGACTCAGTAAGACTGGAATATATCAAATTTTGGTTTTTAAAACATGTATAGAAGATCATTTCTTAATATAAAAGTTTAAAAATGATCCATGTAGTGGAAAGAGAAAGAACATTTTCAATCATAACTTTCTTTTTAACAGTGAGAAATGGCTTTGAACAATATTGAATTATTAAGAAGAGGATTAAAACCCAAATGTAAACTGTAGCATTATAGCTCTATAGGAATATTAATCCAGATTGGTGTGTCATCTCAATTTGAGAGTGAGAAATTTGCTTACCTGTGATCTTAATTCTATGGCACCATCTTTATGTTAGGCACAGGCTGACATGATTGTGTGTGTTGGTGGGGGAGCAATAGCATTGATATTCTACTACATTTATTTATCATTCGTGTCACAGTCAGAGCAAGCGACACTTCTAGATTGCCTGAAAAGGAGCTGGAGACACTTAAGGAAGTCATGGCTGCTAATGTATTTTCAGGAATCTAAATAACAATTACAGTTGCTTTTTTGTGTGTTTTTATAGCTGTTACTGATACACACCTATTCCTGTGTAGCTTCCTCTTTCTCTGCTTCTTTCTCAATGAATGTACAAGCATCACCAACTTATACATATAAAGGCAAGCCCTTAATTATCAACATATGCTTTACTCTACTAGAGTTTAGATTTTCAATGTCCAGTATCTATTACCATTCTCAGCTGTGTGCTTGATGTGAAGAAAAGCTACACAGTTTCATCATTTTCCCCAATCATTTATGGCTCGAGTAGCAGTATATTCCACTATTCCTTTAAAGGAAAAAATAATATGCTAATCAAGAGGAAGTTGTGGTTCAATGGGAACTGCACAACTAGTAATACAACAACAGAGGAATGAAGGGATAGTTAGATGGAGACACTATTTCTAGGAAAGATGTGTGCGAGTTGTTCTTGCAGAAAAATATATCAAAAATAATTTGAGAAGAAGAGAAAAAGTCACATTTCAGAAAGACCTTAGGTAAAAATATTTGAAGAAAGTATTTTCACTAATTTGCTCAGAAGAATATTGTTAGGAGATGAAAGAAGTTGTGGAGGTTTGATCAATATGCCTGCAGGTAGTTCAGGAGATGGGTGAAAATGGATCATAATTAGAAACCTTCTGAACCCCAACTCTAAAAAAAGTTCTTGGTTTACATGAAGTACGCAACCTCAATTGATCCATTTACAACACAAGCCCCTTTACACCTGAGTCTTAGGGAATACTTCAGAAGAAGGGATAGAAAGAGTCTAGGAGCGAGAAGACCTGGATGTCAGTAGAGAGATTGTTTTCTATATACAAAAAGGCATTGTAACCATGAAATCTTAAGAGAATATTCACCTAAACAAGACCTGAGCGTCAATAACAGTTGACATGCCAGTGTGTATGGGGGAAGTCTTGCAAGGCCCACCCCCTCAATGATGAACTACAGGAAAGTAATGACTCCTAAGAATGGGAAAGGGGGATGAGTCTCCCAAATGGTTGTCTCATACTAAGTAATCATTCTTAAAAACATATACATGTGAGAAAAGCTGACTAAACTCAGCTGACTGCATTTATATATTCATATAGTATTAATTAAAGAACAAGAATCAGGAATTTGAAAGGGGACATGATCAGGTCCAGAAGGGGGAAATGATGTAAATACAATATTCAGATACAAAAATGCTTTAGTTTGACTTTGAAAATGATAGGGACAACAGGACTCTTCTAACATCACACGACTGAGCAATGCAGTAGGTTTGGTTAATCATACTGTTATAACTATAATTGCCATAATATAACCTGTAAGAAATGAGATTGGGCTTAAAAGACTCAGATTTTAGTTAGTATTCTATGGAATGGAAGAACAGATGCCTTAAGAATGTAAGCTACTAATGGGATTATTACAGACCTCTAGAGCCTAATTACTTGAAGACAAACTTGAGACTTAAAGCAGACCAGAGCACATGCAGATCACGTTAAATATGGCTTGGTTTCGTTTGGTCTCCATCGTATTTTTTGGTACCTTACCATGGTAAAAATCTCGATGGCACTGTCAGATTTTAGAAGGATACATGAGGTAGAAATACCACAAATGACAGGCTGGTATATGTTTCTCCACACTGGGCTGTGCTGGAAGTGAAAGGTAGGGAGGCAGTGCACTGTGCAGCGAATGGAAAACTTTAGAACTCTTAAGTCTCACAGAACTGAGTGGATCCATGGACCAGGGAGAAATTGTGGGCCTCATCAGCTCATCACAATTGGCTTGGCCACGTGTTGCTTTTTCTCTTTTACTGGTGTTTTCTGTTTATCTTTGATTGTTTTACTAACTCGTTTCTTTTGAAAAGGAAATATTTGACATCTAGGTTAGAGTGTTTCATATCAGGAGAAACACCATCATGGTGAAATTTGTTAAAAGTATAGAAAGCCATCTCACTTTGTTTTTAATGTTCCAGTGACGCGACAGTTTTGGGTAGAAAACGGGGTGCTAGTAGATTTTGAGACAATGGGCCTGGCAGCATCTAAGTTAAATCCTTCTTAAAGATCTTTTGAGGGAGGGTATAGAAGGATATCTAATACACAGGAAGCTTCAAGTACCGAAAATCACAGCCCACCCAAACAGGGAATCCTTGCTACAAACTTCTGCAGAAATCACATTTCTTACAGAAGTCAGCAAATAGTATGCAAAACCAGAAGGTTTGTGTGTGTGTGTGTGTGTGTGTGTGTGTGAGTTAGTATCAATGACAAAGTTTATCTGAATGAAGTCACCAGGAATTTTCCATTGATAACACTTGTGCTGACTTAGCTTTTTAGACATCTGCAGCATCTCAAAAAACTAAAGATAACTGAATGAACAGCCAGCATTCTTGAAACTGGCTTGATGCTTTGGCAAAGAGAAGTGTGTGTGTGTGTGTGTGTGTGTGTGTGTGTGCGTGCGTGTGTATGTGTATACACACATCTGCATGCAAGTGAATGACTGTGTATGTGTCAGCATGTGTGACTGTATATAACTATAACTATGTGTGTGCTACTGTGTGTTTCAGATTGTATATGTGTGTGTGTTTGCATCTTTATGCATGTGTAGTATGTGTCAGATGTGGTACATATAGACCTTCATGTGTGTGACTGTGTCAGAATGTGATTATGTATGTATTGCTATATGTATGTGTCTGCATGTGTACAACTGTGTCATAGAATGAGTATGTATGTGTTGTGTTACTGTGTGTGTGACTGTGTATCTTCATGTGTGTGTGTCTGTGTGTCAGTATGACTATATATTGCTATTAGTGTGTGTTTGCATGTGTATGACTGTGTAGTATGCACACATACAGTGTGTGTATGTGTCTGGATGTAACCTTGTGACAGTGGATGACTTTATATGTAATTGTGTGTTTGTGTGTATGTGTGTGTTGGGATATCATTATATACCTCTTATTTTACTCTAGCCAAATCTTCTGGACCTTCTGTGTCTTGGTTAGTTGGAAGTCTATCTCTCTCTCTCTCTCTCTCTCTCTGTATATATTTTCATAAATGTAAAAACTGTATGTATCCCATATTTTGTCAAGATTAAGCAGTTAGCTAGGTGTACCCTAACACTGTGCTATTGTTTTATTTTTCAGAATACATAAGCTGTGTAATTACTGCTCTATGATCACTTTGGGATCGGGATAACTGTTATTATTTCCTTGTGTTTAAATGGAGGATGGGATGCCTTTATCTCAAGGCAGGTATGTCTGCGTTTTGTTTTTCAAGGGTGTTTAGCTGAAAATGTCACTGGCAGTTCCTACCTTGCATTTCCAGCTGTGCCTGAGAGCTGTGCAGCTGATGGGGTGGCTTGAATATTTTTTATTTTGTTTGCTTTTCCACAGGGGCATCCATATTGCTAGTGGCACCCATCTATCAATATGACCAGTGTTTTCTTAGAAAATTCATGCTGTGTTTTAGATTTTTATATTCTTATTAAGAAGTATTTGTGAGTTCAGTGAATACATATCAAATTTGTGAACTATGGTTGAAATGGCTATTTCTATTGTAAGAGTTTTTATAAAATTTTTAAAAGATTAAGAACGTTATAAATAATTTTTAAAAGTATAAATAGAATTGTTGTTAGACTGTAGATAGATTTTATTGATGCTGAATATCTATGATTAGGTGTGGCATTTTGAATTTTTTCATTTTTATCCTTACAAAATTTTTGACAACATATTTTGGATATTTTAAGACATACTTCATGCTAAAATCTACAGTTTCAGAACATCTAAGTTTAATTTACTAATACAAGCAATGAAACATATTCCTGACACTAACAGGCATTATACCTTTGTTAAAAAGTCTTTCATCCAAGGCAATATATCCTGGGGATGTATTGAAGGGCCACATGTGACTTTGTCCTCTGGGGTTTCACCCTGCTGAATCACGTAGGAAATTAGGGCAGAGTTGATTTCCTGTAGCCACTAAACAATAAAACTCCAGAGCCAGCAGACGGTGTTGGCTTGCTATTTTCAGAGTGTGCTACTCAGATGAGTAATCAGCTTGGGAACCACACCCAGGTTGCAATGTCCACACTAGGATTCTAGTTAGTGGCCTGTCTATTGTTTGACAGACCACCGAACAGATCCTCAGTGTAGGACATCCCAATTAACAAGGGCAGTGGAACATAGGCTTCAGAATTATATCTCATTCACTAAATAATTAAGGTCCTTTAAAATAAGTCATGTCCTTTCTAAGATATTTTTAAGCTATAGACAGTCAGTCTCCAATTTTCAACATTATCACTCCCTGAGAAAAAACAGCTGCCCATTGCAGCACTTAAAAAAAATGTCTGAAATATGAGATTTTAAGATAATACAATTCTCTGTAAAGTTTTAGAAATGTAAAACATGAAAGAATTCAAGGGGAAGAATTTTATAGGTGATGCATTGTTGAAGGGTTAATTCTGTTGTCCTTTTCCTGGACACCCCCAAAACAATGTTCTACAGACCATGTGAAGAGAACTCAGGTAGGAAGCAGTGAGGTTAGAGGCTCCAAAAGAGTCAGCAGATGAGGGCATTAGAAATCAAAGCTTGAAGGATCGGAAGGCAGTGGGAATTTGCTGGCTCTTTGTTAACACTGGGCAGTCACAAGAGGCACTTCAGTAGGAGAGAGATGACTTCTGAGACTAGCAAAACAAGAAAACGTTCAAAATTGGATTTAGGGAAAGAAAATATAGACACAAGAATGAATTACCAAAGCTTTGTTCTGCATGACACATGTAAAATCTAGAGCATTAAAACATCAATGCTTTTTAAAGTTATTAAAGAAATTGCTCAAAGACTAAAGAGGAACTATTGGTCACTTATGGTCGCTTGACAAGGGTGGTTGTTTCTGCCAGCGTCATGGCCAGGGTTAAGTTGGTCTTGCCCTAGTAGATAATCTCTGACCCTCAACTGGCCAGGAGACTCATTAAACTCAGTGGGCCACAACCACTGCTGAAAAGAAAGAAGGAGGACACTTGTTCAAAAGAAATCTCTCAGAGGAGTGAAAAAAGGAGGGGGTGGGAATGTATAAATGTATAAAGCTGTCAAAAAATTTAAAAAAAGGCCAAACTGCCATTAACTTAATGCTCATGAAAATGAAGATTGTTTTCAGGAAGCAGTGAGTTGCACTGCCTGGTGAGCCTTTGGTTTTCAACAATCTCTCCATTACCTTTGTGCTTTCCTTTGTGCAAATTGGTTACATGATTTTTAGGAAATCTTTTGTCCCTGGTGCTTACTATTCCCAACTTAGGGCATTGCTTTGTTTTTGCTAGTTTCTTAAACTAGCTGCAGTCATTTCCCCATCTTGTTTGTGTCTTGATTTATCAGGTAGTTTCAATGCTGACTGTACAGACAACTGGGTACTCTTCAAATAGCCCTCACTGTTTTGCCTAAGAAATCTTGCAGGGCATTTTTCTGAAAATAGGATTTTCTGTAGCCTTCTCTTTGTAACCTTGAGTTTGCTAATGAGCACTATGTGCCTTTCCTCTCCCGAGTTACAAAATTAGAACTCAGCATAGCAAGGGATGGGAACTTCCTGATGCCCAAGGCAAAAACAAGCAAGGGACGTGCAGTAAATTCTGAAGCCAAGATGGTGGTTTTGACTACAGTTAGCACATAGGAGTTTCAGCCCACCAGGCTCATGATGATGGAGTCAGAAGTAGAAAAATGAGGTGCTTTCAAGCTGCTAAAACTGGGCCCTAAGGTCCGAAGAACAGTTTATTTTTCAGTAGAGAAACATTAACAAGTGTTAGGAATTTACACGTGAATCGCAATGGATCTCCCTGTCTGCTTTTGACAAGATCACGTCTCAAATGCTTATAAATTAATAGACTTCATTTCTTCATTGAACTTGACAATTAATTATTTTTCTTTATATATCTATATCTATATATATATATGAACATTTGAGATTTTTCCAAATTTACCCCTACAATTGTGTAGCATGCCAACATGCAAATAAATTACTCTGCAGTGGGGGGTGATCCTTTAGTTTGTTAAGTTATAATATGTATTTTTTTTAATTTCAAAGCATATCAATTTTAGCACAAAAATTTAAAGTAATTTATACATTGCAAAAACCTATTTCTGGACTCATTTCTGTATGGCAGTAGACACAAAGTAGACCAACTGATCAAATGTTAAAGACACACTGTGTACAATGTCTTATACAGACTGTTAATATGTGTGCATATCAAATGTGCTAAAATGAATAAATAAAGACATATTTATGTTTTAAACTAAACTTCTTTAGTCTTACATTTTAAAATAATGCTTAATTTTGACATCAAAAGAAGACAACTATATCTTTTTTCTGAGTTGTTGGAGCTTCAGGAAAGAACCATTAAGGAGTATTTAGATTTGTTACTGAGACAAAGATTTTGTTGGCACTCATTTCTGTTCATTAAAAATATATATTTTATTGGTCCCTTTAAAAATCCTTGACCCCTTAAGGCCTAGATGAGCAGCTGAAACAATGTTCTAATGTCACACCGAGTGTCTGGCCTCTTATTGAATATAAATGTAAAATCAAACATCTTTAATTTTAACTAGGAGGTCCATATATCCAAATTATCACCTAAAATAAATTATGTACCGTCAGTAGTCTTATTGGCATTTATAGCATTTAGAAGATTATGGAATCAAAACAACATTTAATTATTTCCTGCTCATCTTCAAAGACTCTAGAAAAAAAGTTCGAAACTTCAAAATCAAGGAACACAGATTCAACCTTTTATCCATCCCCATTCTTTCCATACTTCCTAAGAAATTAAAACTATTTATATTGATAAGTATATATTCTACTTCAACATTAACAAATACTAAGATTATCTGAATGCAGATAAATGACTATTTTACTTTGCTTTTGCAATGATTTTTTTTTTTATAAATAGCCACCAAAAGGGATTCAATATAGTGAAGGTTAGGAAAGGGGACATTGTTTAATCTTTAGTTTATGAATTGCTAATCCGTTCTATAGAGGAATCAGCATAATTTTTATCAGAAGCTTTAAGGGAATTAAATCATAAAGGGCAAGGTTTTCATTATCTTCTTCCCAATATTCAAGCTGAAGAAATGATTTATAAATTTTAGGGCAGAAACTTTGACCACACTTAAAAAAACTTTCTGAAAGGTGAGTCATTTGACTGATAAAAACTTGAGCTTTTTCCATATGGAATATGTTTTAAATTAGGGCTTAGATTTATCTACTGCATGGCTTTTATATAGAAATGTAAATTTGTAGATTCTTAAATTGTGTTGAATTAATATGTCTGAAGATATTTTTTCTCTCTGGACATATTTAAATCTGTCAATTCATGTAAATGTCCATCTTGTTTTCATTTGAATGGTAGAATGCAGAAACAGTATTTAGTGAGTCAACAAATTTTTAAAATATTCAGTTCTTAGGAAGAATATGGCATAGTATTAATATGGTAACTGTCTACAGATCAGACAAAATGACATTGGCTCTAGTTAATATCATTGTTATTTTTGGAGGCACACAGTCTAAAATAGGCAATAGAGATATCTACAACTTCTCCCCACAAATAGATGAACATAATTAAGACAAATACATTTAGGCCCATTCCATAAGAATCTACTTTGCCTTATCATACACAGAAAATGGAACTTTTGTTACAAAAGTCTTGAAGCCGGATCGTGATTTAATTTGCAGATAGGTATTATGGATTTGTAATTAATAGTCATTGATTCAGAGCCTAAAGACTCATAGCCATGAATATTCTCTGCATTTACCTGGACTTTAGGAGTAACCCTTGTGTTAAGTACACTCTATGGTTGGTGTCTTGTTTAAAGTTCAGTCATTTTTTTTTCCCAGCCATCCTTCAATTTAGTGAACTATACAGTTTCTTTGGAAATTGTACTTTAAGTTTCATGTGCTCATCTGTTTCTTTCTTGCCTGAAAAGTGATATGCACATACTTTGATTAGCTATCCAGTTTGGAAAGGAGAATAATTAGAATATGACTGACAAAGAGATTTGGGGAGTAGAAATTCGATCCCCTAGCATAGGTCTGCAGCTTGATCACTTGTTTCTGTTTCAAGTGATTACCAATTAGTGCTGTAGCTCCTAACCCTTCCTAAGGTTAGCATGCTCATAATCAAGGGAGCTGGCAAGGCTATTGTTTGCTATTGTAATCTTTACTCAAAACCATAAATGAGAACATTGTGAATAAACACATAAAGAAGGTAATG